AATCTCACTAGAAGGGCTTTCCATATGGGGCGAGGTTGAAGAAAACGGGGCTGAGACAGGAGTATGTGGAGCTGGTTCAGGCTCGTCAAATTCAGCATATGGTTGTCCAACTTGGATAGCATCGATTCCTGGCTGTTTGGTTGTTCCGGATTGATTTCGGGGTCATTTTGAGGTGTTTCGAGGTGTATTTGGGGTTGTGGTTCAATTATGGTAAAGGTCTTAGGAGTCGCCATCTCTTCTTCTTTGTTTTTGTACCAATTCCATTCTTCTTTTTCGTCAAAAACAACATCGCGACTAACTCGCAACTTTCGGTCTTGCGGATCAAACAAACGGTTGCCTTTAGTTCCATCTTCCACACCTAAATACACCATCTTCTTACTTCGATCATCAAGCTTCTTCAAGTGACCACCTACAAGTTTAGCAAAAGCAACACAACCAAAAACTTTTAGATGTTCAAGGTTGGGCTTTTTGCCAAACCACGTTTCATAAGGCGTCTTGTCGGGAAGTACTTTTGTTGGCAGGCGGTTGAGAAGATAAACTGCATGTCTAACCGCTTCTCCCCAAAACTCTCCCGGAACATTTCTACCTTTGAGCAGACTTCTTGCCATGTCCATAACGGTCCGATTTCGCCTTTCTACAACTCCGTTCTGTTGAGGCGAATATGGTGTCGTAAGATGCCTTTGAATACCATTTTCTTCACAAAATAATGAGAATTCTTTTGAAGTGAACTCTCCCCCTCGGTCCGTTCGAAGTGTCTTTATTTGATAACCCGAATTCTTTTCAACCATCAACTTGAACCGTTTGAAAGCGCTCAAGGCTTGAGACTTCTCCGATAGCATGTAAACCCACATCCACCGGCTAAAATCGTCTACTAAAAGGAGAAAATATTTACTCCCTCCAACAGACGTAGGTGTGATCGGACCACATAAGTCCGCATGAACAAGTTGTAGAGGTTTTTGAGCTCGAAAAACTGCATGATCCGGGAAAGGAATTCGGGTTTGTTTGGAAAGAACGCACCCTTCACATACTTGGTTTGGGTGCTCAATCTTTGGGACTCCGATTGCCATATTCTTTTCGGACAACTTCTTTAAGGCGAGAAAGTTAACATGACCGAGTCTAGAATGCCATATCCAAGCTGGTTCGTCTTTTGTTGCTAAAAGACAAGTCGGTCTACCGGTCCTTAAAGGAGTTTTATATAACCGGTTTGGGGATCGTTTAACTCTCAAAAGTAGAGTTTTGTTTCTGTCAAACAATGTCAGATCCGACCCATCCATTATGACCCGACTCCCTTCCTCCGTCATTTGTCCAAGACTAATAATATTGTTTTTTAGACTTGGAATGAAATATACCTCATTAAGGAGTCTTTGGTCGCCATTTTTGCTATCGAATAAAATCGACCCTTTTCCCAAAATAGCGACGGTCGAACCATCCCCAAATTTCACATGGCCCGTAACGTGCTCATCTAGTTCGCGAAACTTTGACCGGTCTCCAGTCATGTGATTGCTAGCACCGTTGTCGAGATACCATACCTCATACTCGACTCGACTTTCTCCCGATGCAAGAAGATTAACACAAATCTTCTCTCTTAGAGACACTTTTTTGTGTGCATATTCTTGTGAGGTTGCCATCATTAAAATAGGCTCTTCTTCGTTGGCTTGAGTGAGGTTTGCCTCCTCACCTCGATTCTTGTTTGGACACTCCGAAGCATAATGACCAAATTGTTCACAAGTAAAGCATTTGATTTTACTTTTATCCTTTCGAGAAGGATTATGGTCATTCCAATTTGTATTGTACTCGCAACCACCTCCTTGGCCACGTCCACGACCTCGGCCTCGTCCCCAGCCTCGGTTACCATGTCCTCCTCTTCCTCTTGAAGTGTTTGACGAGTTTCTCTCGCCAGTTTGCTTCGAACGAGATGCCCACTCGGCATGTGTAAGCAATAGAGAAGGTCCTTCTTCTTTTCCTCCATAGCTTCGAAGTCTCTCTTCATGGGTCTTAAGACGACCCACAACTTCTTCCACCGTCATATTCTTCAAATCTCCGAATTGCTCGATCGATGTTACGATTTGTATAAATCGTATCGGTACGGCTCGCAAAAACTTCTTCACAACCGTAATTTCTTCAATCTTTTCACCAAGAGATCGAATACCGGTTACGATAGTATTCAATCTCATGGAAAAATCATCTACCGATTCACTGTCTTTCATCCGGATCACCTCGAAGTCACTTCTCAAGGTTTGAGCTTTAGCCTCCTTGACCCGATCGGCTCCCATGTGCATCATCTTAAGTGTTTCCCATGCTTCTTTAGCTGTGTCCTTCTCAGCTAACATCAGAAGTACATCCTCTGGAATTGCTTGATAAATAGCCGCAAGAGCCATCCGATCTTTACGTTCGTCCGTTTCTGCATTTTTAATTACATCCCATACTCCTTGTGCTTGTAAATTCACTCGCATTTTTATGGCCCACACCGCGTAGTTCATCTTCGTGAGCATTGGATAGTGTAACGTAACGCTACCGTCTTTCCCGGTCCTTTGAAAACTTTCAACTCCGGCTTGAGAAGATGACGAGGTTGGTGTAGTCATTCTTGGCATATACTTGGGCATACACGAGTAAGAATATATATATATATTTTTTTTTGAAGTACGGGGACCAATATGAACTTATCAGAAGTTCAGGGGGCAAACAGAACTTTTACAGAAGTAAAACAGGGGCTAAATTCAAATTTTTCTGAAAAACGGGACCAAAATTGCAATTTTTCTGAAAAACAGGGGCTAAATTGCACTTTCCGGAAGAACAGGGGCTAAACTGTAATTTCCAAAACTTTCGTCAACTGCTGACGTCACTGCTACAGTGCTGCTACAGTACCGTCTTCTCCGGCGAACCCTGGTTTTTCCGGCGACTTTTCCGGCAGATTTGACCAACTTTGACCGGTGATTTGGAGTCCTTCCGGTGGTCAAAAAATTCAAAAAAATATATTTTCGGAATCCTCAGAACAAGACATTTCCAACGGTGTACTCCGAAATTGTTTTTGAGACAAAAAAATTTCGACCAAAAACAGAGAATGCTTCCCCCCGAGCTTAACCAAGCTCTGATACCACTTGTTGGGGTTGAAACACACTTTTATTCAGAACTAGAACAAAAGAGAAGAGCTTACACGCTCAATATTACAAGAAAAAGAAACAACCCTCTAATACTCACTCTAAGTATTACACACTACACTCTTTGTTTGTGGTGTCTTACAACTGAGGTTAGAGCCTCTATTTATACTTAAACAAGCCTACAATTACTACTGCTACCATTTATTGTGTTCATTATGTGAACATACGAAGTTGCCATTTGAGTTCTTATTGTCAACATAGATAGAGGCGCAGCTACTGATGTCAGGTTCACACCAAGTCTGGTTTACACTCACATGAAAAACCAATTCTTGTATCAGTATTGATGTCGTTAACCAGCTCTAGATTCATGGGGGATAATTGGTGCTCCATGTGACATGCAACCTGCAAGGAAGAGGATGAGGAGTGTGGACGCCACCCCTTAATCACTGGGTCAGATCTGTAACAAAAATCTATACCTGTTTACGAATAAACATATGTAGAGGTTTGATCAGAGATTGCAGAATCACAAATAGCGTTCATCCAAATCACTAGTCCTGAACCATTTATCCCCGATGAATCATTTATCCCCCTAAATCGCAATATGAAGGCGGCAAGCTGGGTATCCAATTCTCTTCTCAATTCGGGACCAATACAAATCACAAATCACTTCATCCAAATCACTAGTCCTGAATCATATCTTGTCTTCGTAAGCAAGTTCCAAATCAATTTAAACCATTACAAATCATATAGAAGAAAGTCAGAACATTTGTTAATCGATTCTTTGTATTCCAATTCGTCAGTTTTCAACTGTTCTGAACAAAATCAAGTTCGAATCCCATCGCACATGAAAGGTACTGAATTGATTAATCAATCATTGAATCACCCAGGAATACTTGATTGAACTCTTAAATCGCTCCGGTCACAAGATGATTTTAAGAACTGAGATTCAAGAGATAGACCGAAGAAGAAATCGTGATTAGATAATCCATTTTGAATGGAAGCGTGAACAAAATATCCATGGAAATTGACTTTTTGATCCAACAAAAAGTTCAATTTCAAGAACCAATTTGTGGATGGAGGTTTGATAGAAGTAACAGATCACGAGTTTTGATCTATGTGGGTCGGGTTTGAAACGAGATCAGGTGGGGTTCATTGAGAGAGAGAGAGAGAGAGAGAGAGAGAGAGGGAGGTTCCTATTTTTATTTTTTATATATAAATACTTATAGGAAAAAAAATAGAAAATAAATATAATAAGGGCAATTTAGTCTTTTCAGTTTACCGAAGGACCAAAATCACAAACAAACTACCTGAAAAAGACCATCAATCCAAAAAAATCATGGTTTGGACTAAAAACCCCAAAAAAAATTGTATACCACAGCGACCATTTTTGAAATTCTGTCTTTATTTTAAGTGTGTTTCATGTGTTGGCCAAGACATAAAATAAATAAAATACGAAAAGAATATTTAGGCTTGCTGAGATTTGAAATTTAGTACCAATCCTAGTATACTACCATAAGAATCACTTGGGACGAGGTTAAAGTGATGTCCTTTTGTGTGCATGAATTCCTTTCGCAGTTCCGTATATATAAAATGATTTCGTTCCTATAATTCTTGACAAAATGAACGTTCAAGAAACTAGAAACTAGGTAGGTTTTGATTATGCTTTTCTTTACTGTAGTCTCTTCGTTGTAATATAATTGCATGTCAATACTATCGTTCATATGCGCCTGCTATTTTCTTCTAGCTAGTGAACACAGCACATATGCAAACTTTCTTCTAGCTAGTGCACATAACACATATGAAAACTTTAATGTGACATAACTTTCTTTTTAATTCAATTTTCCAGTTACACTAATATTTCATGTCTTGCTGTACAACTTCTAAAAGCAGGAAAGGCAAGCTATGGCTATGATTGGGATTGTACCTGAAGAACTAAAAGAAGAAAACTATGAGTTCTGGAAGGTATGCGTAAAGAGTTATCTAGTTGGTCAAGGTCTGTGGGCTGTTGTCTCGAGAGAAGCTACATCCGCCGAAGAGGCTACACCAGAATGGCAAAAGAAGAACGCTCAGGCTTTACATGCTATTCAACTAGCCTGTGGATCACGTGCCTACTCCAAGTACAAGAAGAACACACATGTCTCCGCTAAATTTGCTTGGGATCACTTGGCCGAGATGCGTCCTAGCGCATTACACGATACTGAAGTTACACCTGATCATGGTCTCCCTGGTGAAATACCTGGTATATTTGTTAATTTATCAAATTTTTTGCAGTAAATTAACTTAATAACCTAACGTTGCATTATTATATATATAAAGAAAGTATGGAAATGATATATCATAGGGGTTAATGAGCACTTTCGACATGAAAAGCTATACAATGCTGTGGAAGATGGTGATATCGAACTAGTGAAGGAGATCTTTAAGAACGACCCGGATGCTGGTAGAGCAATCGTAACTCTTCACAGAGATACAGCTCTCCATGTTGCAATCCTCTCCGGAAATATTAAGATTGCACTTGAATTGGTGAAGCAGATGACCCCAGAAGACCTGGAAATTGCTAATGAGTTTGGTGCCACTCCTCTCTCTCTTACAGCTATAACGGAAAGTACAAAATTGGCTAAGGCCATGGTGCAAAAGAATCGTATGTTGGTTACAATAAAAAAAGGAAATACTGATGAAAGCTCACTTCCTGTGATTGTGGCTTCAATGTATGGTAGAAAGAAAATGGTTCACTATCTCTACTCCAGGACTCCAAAGGAGCTGTTTGACCCGACAAGAGGCATGGAAGGTGTGCTGCTTCTGAATAATTTGATCACCGCAGATTTATTTGGTGAGTGAGTTTAATCTTTCATGCATAGATAATTTTTTCACATGGAGAAAATAATATAACCTTGTTTCAGAAATATGTGGGTACTTATATTCTTAATGCTGCAGATATTGCTTCCATGCTACTAAATAGGTTCCCACAGCTAGGCGTCACCCCTGATCACCATGGCAATTACGCTCTTCATAAATTGTCTCACAAGCCTTCCGCGTTTGCAAGTGGAAGCGAATTTCCTTTCTGGAAACATTGGATTTATCGATGTGAGCAATCGTACTTTCTTTCATTTAAATTTCATGATTTTGAGATAAGCTCAAATTAATAAGGAGTAACATCTTTTAGGATTTTAGGGGAGAATATATATTATCGAATATATGAAATCGTAATAAATAAATGATCAAAGCACTGTGATCTTACAATGACATAAACATAAGCCTTCAAGGTTTTTACATACATTCTCTTTTATAGCGTGAATCTAAACGTGACATGTATTTTAAAATTGATAGCTCTTCGATCCATTCAAAACTAATTATGGGCCTATATACGGCGGTTCGTCCCACCCATCTAAGTCAATCTTGTTCTTTTGGCTCCCAAATTTATGGTTAATTTTCATATTAAATTATTCCTTGTTAGACTCACTGTTTTGCAAATCTACTCTACTCTTAAAACTACTTTTAAATTCATCTATGTCATTGACGAGACTTAAACCATCAACCTTAATAAGGGAAAGCAATACCTGATACAACTGGACTAGAAGCTGTTAAGTCACTTCGAGGTTAGGTTTCTTTTTTTCTTTTTTGATTTGCTCCACAACACTAACAATATCCTTGATCTTGAGTGAAACACGTTAATATAACAAACCTTAAATTGAATGCATCCATGGTTGGAAATGAATTTCCATGCACCAACAAACCGTTCATTTTGATGGGGTTAAATGTGAATTTCGGGCTTTAAGAATGAAACTCTCTTACTCGGCTGTCTAGGACTATTTGCATCTAAAGTTAGAAAATTTCTAATTGAAATGTTGGAACTCTTTCGATTTTAAGACGTTTTCATTTTTAAAGGCCAAAACTCATATTTAACCCTCTCAAAACGATGAAGGATTTTTTAGTGCATGGAAATCCCTTTCCAACCATTGATACACTCAATTTAAAGTTTTTTACCTTAAATTGTTTTCATTTTTAAAGGCCAATACTCATATTTAACCCTATCAAAACGATGAAGGGTTTGTTGGTGCATGGAAATTCCTTTCCAACCATTGATACACTCAATTTAAACTTTGGTACCTCTAACTGTCTCATTCAAGTTTAAGAATATTACTTAGGGTTAGTGATGTGGAGCATATTGAAAGAGTCATATATGTAATCGGAGAAAGACAAAAGTGACATAAAGAGACCTATAACCTCAAAATGACTTAAATCTTCTATCCATTCAAAATTATGGGGCTTATATATGGCGGTTTGCCCCACACATCAAAGTCAATTTTTTGCTCTGAATTTTGAATTTTCTGAATCTAAATTCCTCCATATGCAACTAAATATCCCTACAAATTCTACAATATAATCATCCTCTAAGTCCTTGAAACCATTCATTTTCCACCATATCAATGATTGTATTTCAAAAGATCTTACATGCTTCCTTGGAAGTGGTTGCACTAGCAACCTTATGAAATATTGCACATTAAGACATTAATAGATGAGTACAACACGTTGATCATCTTTTGTTCTTGCTTATGTAATAGTTCACGTATGGTGGGCAACACTCGTCATCTTATTTCTAACACATTTGCTAATTAATGGAGTTATTTAGAAGATATTAATTTGCCATTTTCATTTAATTGTATCGTGAGCTTTCAAAATTAGAACAAAACATAGGCTTAGGGATTTTATCTTTTGGATTAACGAATAGCCAATTATTGGACAACGGACTAAACCGTATGTAAATTGACCCATTCACCACAGAGGCCTTGTAGGGTCACCCACCTCAAACATGTTAGATTTTAGGGATTCATAAATAACAATAAATACAAAGTTTGATAGATTCAAGGATCGTGTTTTCAAACACTTTTCGAAATCTGTAATTTGTCCCTTTTGCATGGGGTACACGAATTCAAAAGTGGGACAATCCAAGAATGAACCAATCTGAATTACATGTCTAATCCGGACTGTGAAACACAGAATACCTTGTTTGATATGTTCTTGAAAGATAGAACAAATCAAATAAATAGATTTCGAATATATGAGATTTTCGAACCCTCTTCCTAGAACATTCATATCTTATTTATACATGAAGGAAAAGTGGTTAAAATCGGCTAAGCCAATATTGGCGCCAAAATATGGTGGTTATTGGAACCACCGTCGGGGCTTTGCCCATTGAACACTGCTAGGGGCACTGCCCCTTGGAACTTGTACCCAGGGGCACTGCCCCCGTATCCCGAGCTCATATTAATTAATCCGAGTGTGCACATCGCACCTCCAACCTCGGTGAATGAAATAGAACTCAACATATCTTAATATTAATAACAGTTACATTAAAACATGTTGATAACACTAAAACCACCAATAAAACACACCCTCAAAGACACCCCGATCGGTAGTTCAAAAGAATTAATGGAATTAGGCCTAGATAACATGTGTAAGTGTTTATTACGAAATCAAATGGGCCAAATTAAGTTTATCGTCCAATAGTTACAATTACATGTCACACCGATAATTGATGGCTTGTTTTAATTAGTAAAGACTAGGTGTCTTAAATATAAAATAATTTCAAAGGATTTAAGTTAAACTTAAAAGATTACAATTAAATCCATGGGCCTATAACCAAATTCTTTGTATACTAAAGAGAGATTGTTTGGATAAATTAGCTTATACCTTATTAGCTTATTGCGGTGGGAATAAGCAGTTTTTGCAAAAGTGTTTGTGGTAGGAATAAGTAATAAGCAATAAGCAAGGGGGAAATGCTTATTAAAATCGGTTTATTTAGCTTATTTTTATCATAATAAACTGATTTTTAAGGATTTCAATCAAAACAATAAGCACCCTCTTTTTTTCTATCCAAACACCCTTTAAAAGAAATAAACTTAACCACATAGCCCACAATTATTTATATTATATGAAAATTAGCTTTATGCATAAAAGAATTCTAATTAAAGTTAATAGTTTACATAAAGTATAAATATCAAATAATCACAACTTAAAATATTACAGTTCAGTTATGAGCCTATAACCAAGTTCTTTGGGTAATAAAGAGACTAAAAGACAAACTCAACCAGCTAGCCCTCAATTATTTTTATTATATGAAAATTAGCTTTATGCATAAATGAATTATAGTTAAGTTTAATAAATTAAGAGTAAATTACAAGAATGGTCCCTATGGTTTAGGGTAGTTTGCGCGTTTGGTCCCTAACTTATTTTTTTAACTCGGAAGGTCCCTACTGTTTGTTTTTGTTACACGCTTGGTCCCTGTCTTACCTAAAAAAACTATTTTGCCATTGATTTTTTAAAATATTTAAATAAACACACCCCAACCCCCCATCACCTTACTTTACCTATCCCACAATTTTTTCATATTTAAATAATAGTTTTTTTAGGTAAGACAGGGACCAATCGTGTAACAAAAACAAACAGTAGGGACCAAGCTCGTAACAAAAACAAACAGTAGGGACCAAGCTCGTAACAAAAACAAACAGTAGAGACTTTCCGAGTTAAAAAAATAAGTTAGGGACCAAGCGTGCAAATTACCCAAACCATAGGGACCATTCGTGTAATTTACTCTAAATTAAAGACATAAAGTAGCTAGGTGTTTGAACCTGGACCATCAATTAGAAAAGACACAACCCAACCATATAAGCCACAACTAATTCGTATACATGTCAATTATATAATCCATTTGAGTTAAATTTAAAACAAGGTTGGGTCTTGAACACGAAAGTTTCAAATAACTAACATTTGTCTGATGGTTAATGTGGAACTAATTCACTTGCTAGAGACTTTTACCTCTTAGATTATAGGTTGCGAGTTCTAGTTTGGCAATTAGTAAATTTTACTAACTTGATGATACTAACTTCTAACTTCTAACTTCTAACTTGATGATACTAACTTCTAACTTCTAACTTGATGATACTAACTTCTAACTTGATGATACTAACTTCTAACAACTAACCGCCTTATTAAAATAAAATAAAACTAGGTATATATTTGTACTTATATGTCCAAATTGAGGCCCAAATCCATCACTCGCTTGTGGGTTGGCCTGCATGATAAGAAGTTGGTAATGAATAATGATGAAGCAAGTAAACTCCTCAGCTGCATTTTCAAGGAAATAAGAGGCATGATTAGCTTCTTTTATGAAAAATAGAATATTCATCCACTTAAAACCTGTTTGTGTTCATTAAGTTTAATGATATATGTATCATTTGAAAATCAAAGGTTTAATTACTCCTGACTAATCTAAACAGGTGTGCGTATACATTCTCCATGGGATGTTCAGACCCAAAAAAGTGACACTTCAAATGGCTCAGAACATGAAATAGACATCGATCAATCCAGTACTGAAGAAGAACTTATCAGCCATCCTACCTTACTACATCAACTAGGATGGTTTTTGCTACGATCTTTCGGTATGTAATGCTTGAATTCACACATTCTTCTTTTCATGAACCTTTCCATGAAAGAAAGATTCCATTTGAACATTCATCTTTATATTTTACTTTCAGTACCAGATATCAAGCATTTGCATGAAAAAAAGTTGGTAAATGATGAAGCAAGTAAACTCCTCAGCTGCATTTTTAAGGAAATGAGGGACATGAGTCGCTCACAACTTGAAAAGATGGAAATCGATAAGGCCTTGCATGGTGCAATTAAGCATGGAATCGTTGAGTTTGTGGTGGAGCTGCTAAAATACAATCCGGAGTTCATATGGAGGAAAGACAAAAGAGGAAGGTCAATTTTTTCACATGCAATCATTCTTCGCCAAGAAAAGATCTTCAGCCTTTTTTATAGTTTAGGGACAAGGAAAAGCATCGTAGCTAGTAGACATGATATATTCCACAACAATTTTCTACATCTTGCAGCAAAGCTCTCTCCTCCGGCTCAACTTGAGCGTGTTTCGGGAGCTGCCTTACAAATGCAAAGGGAACTGCAATGGTATAAGGTATGCTATGTTTAGAAGGCCGCAAATAACTATCTATTTTTCAAGTTCTTTTAGGTTTTTATGTTTGAAAAACTAAAACATTGTTTATAAGCTAACTTTTTAGAAAGTACTCAAACTAATATTTCAACCGGCGGCGAACACAGAAAGAAATGTAATGGGTTGCACAATTTTTTAAGGGTTGTGTTACTAGAAAAAAAAACTCATTTTCGAAGGCAATTTCCGTCCAAAATCCTTTACTAAAATGGTTTCACCGACATAGTTACACTAAGTTTACACTTATTAGGACTTTGTGGCGATTTTCCAATGAATTTCTATGGATTTGTGACGAATTTTGATGAATTTACACTAAATTTTGCACTTGACAGTAAAATTTGAGGGGTTGTCTGTGCCACCCCGGGACACATACTATGTCCGGCCCTCCGACCCTGATTTCAACAAGCTTATTGAGTTTTTTTAGAATTCTTTCAAATATATTTTATTAATTATAAAAAATCCTCAATGTCTTTTATATTATTTTACATATTTCAGCTTTGACAATGATTATTTTTTATGGGCTAAAGTTTCGGTTAGTCAATCAAACAAAACCCCTAACCTACTAGAATTATTATATTCAATTTAACCATTATTTTAGGAGGTGGAAAGCTTAGTACAACCGAAATACAAAGATCAATTGAATGAAAACAATTGGAAGCCTAGCACATTATTCACTGAAGAACACAAGGATCTAGCAAAAGAAGGCGAAAAATGGATGAAGAATACTGCAGGGTCAAGTATGATTGTAGGAACTCTTATTGCTGCGGTCATGTTTACAACAGCCTTCACCATACCTGGTGGCACCAACGATAGATCTGGTCTACCCATCATGTTATACACTGACAGAAACACGTTCATGATCTTTATGATATCAAATGGACTATCTCTCTTCGCATCATCCACCTCAGTGTTGATGTTCTTAGGAATTCTCACTGCAAGATATGCAGAGAACGACTTCCTTATGTCTTTACCCACCAAATTGATCTTTGGAATTGCATGCCTTTTCTTCTCGATAGTTACCATGATGGTTTCTTTTGCAGCTGCTATGTATCTAATGCTCCATAAGACTTTAGAATGGGTCTCCATACCTCTTATTATTTTCTCTACTTTGCCTGTACTTCTCTTCTCAGCCCTTCAGTTTCCGCTCCTATTGGAAATGGTTTTTCGTACATATGGGTCTACAATTTTTGAGAAACATAAGAAATTTGCCACCTCTACCATGAAGTCTCTCCGTTAGCTTCGTTATGTAATGTCACGTTGAGTTTTACGATGGTGTGTTTTCTCGTCTGAGTGTGAGTTTTTGTTATTGCGGTTTTGTTCATTGTAATCTCAAGTTGACTTATTGAATAAAAGAATTGTTTTTAACAGTTTTAATTTAAGAACATAGGGCCAATATACTCACATAACAAGAACATATCCAACAAGAAAAGTAACTACAAACTAATCAATACATATGTTCAAAAAAGCAACAACAGATTTATCATATTCAATAAGCATTACAAATTTTTGTAAACTCAGAAGCCGAAATTGAATTGCCAATGGACAGAAGCCTAACATGAATTTGCAATGTTATTATGTTAATATATACACAATGTTAATTAACAAAAACGAACCAAACTTGATTGCAATTTTGATTAAATTTCATTGTCATCCAAACATCGACAGTCCACTTGGTGGTAATTTGACTTACTAAATTTAAAATAATCAAGAATAGATGATGAACAACATCACAATAACAAGTATGTAAGAAGCACTTAGGTTTAACATAAACAGAAACTTTATTCATAATTCAAGACTCACGTCACCTGGAGTTTTATTTTAAACATTATTAAAGCGCATATATATTACATCATCTCATACATGTAGACCTTCAAGCATAATAGGTTGTGGCAGAGGCGAGCCACCACAATAACCTTTAAGAATATCACCTTCTTCAGACGTGAAGCCAAGAGAAGTAAGCATTGAAGGCCAGCACCCATAAGTGATGACACGAATGGCTCTGCAACACTCCATTGTCAAGTAGCTGTCTCCGTTAAGAAAGAAAAGTATGATTTCATTTGTGCAGGATTTCAACTCTAGTAACGCATTCCAACAGTCCATTAACCCTCCATCCTTTTCTCCCTGAAGTCTTTCGACCAGACCTTCGCCAGGCTTGATCACATGCATTTTCAGAGCTGTTGAACCAACTTCGGTAGTAACAAGGCATGATAGTAGAAGTAGTGTGATAAGAAGAACCCTTATAGCAGACATGATCAGATGAGATTAGGAATTTACTTTGAATTTCAGGGCTTTGTTGAGGGGTTATATATAAGGAACTACGTTTGACACTATGCGGTGCAAATGTAGAGGTGCTTATGGAATAAATAATCATTTAATATTAAATGCATTGAATAAATACTTAATTATGAAAAAAAAAAAAAAAAAAAAAACTGATGGATGATTTAATGTTAGAAACCCAAAAGATCGACTATACTAATTACTATTATGAAATTTTTAGCTTACATCTCAACAATTAATTTCAGAATTTATCATCACATTTTAACCTTTCGAAACATATACATATAAACTTTTAAAAGGTATGGATGAACGATGTCATGTAAGCATGAGATACTGATCATCAATGTCAGTGCAAAACTTTCTTTTGATATAAATATAACAAATTTAGTTATTTTAGTTATCTTACAGATGTGACTTACAAAAAATTAGGATATGTGTTTGCGCCCCACAAGTAGCACACCGGTTCAAACATATTTGGGACGCAAATAAATAAAAATGCCCTTTATTTTTCAAGTTAAATTTAAAAGAAAAATATATTACTCAGACAAAAAAAAATATTGTTATTATAAAAAAAGATTCATGTCGGAAATGAATTCTTAGGAAATTAAATGTAGTTTGGATAGAAAAATAAATTACGAATAATGTGTATCGAACACATGCGAGTCTGGGATAGAAGACGAATGGAAACAGAAAAGTTATGATTTATTCAACCTCTGACTAATTTTTTATAAATGAAAAGAAAGTTTAAAGGGAAATCTACGGAATAGTCTCAAACTTTTGCCCCAGTTTATGATTTAGTCCTAAATTAATTTTCGTTTATAAAAAATGACAGGTTACCGACTATGACACTTAGTTTAGCCCTTCGAACCTGTAACCCTTCTATTAGCCGGTTGCTTGCCCCAACTGATTCGTCCTTATTACCCTCCATTAACCTCCCCATCACCCACTCCTCTGTAAAAACTCTTTCTTACCCTTCATCGAAGCAAAACCCTACCTCGGAAGAATTAAAGGTAAGAAAATCCATGTGGTCCTCTAGTATCTTGTTTCCCTTATAATATTCTGATTAATTTTTGTTTTGTAGTGATAATGGAGACAGTAGATGACTTGGATACCATTGACATGGAATTGGATGAGTTTTTCAAAAAGAAACAAAGAAGTCAATGAAAAGATAGTTCCTAAACACTCTCATAGACAAAACGCTTGACGAGTGCACCATACCTAAGATAAATCTAAATGATTTTGAAGGAATATCAGAAGATGAAGCACCACAGGAGAAGTTGAGTGAGAGTGAGGGTGACAAAAAAGACAAATTGTAGCTTTAGTACTCAACCCATGATCCAAAGCAGTGTTGCAAAACTCGGCCTACTCGGCCGAGTACTCGGCCGATTACTCGGAATCGGCCCTCCACCGAGGCGAGTAATGTGAACTCGGCAAAAAAAACTCGGGTTAAGTCAAACTCTGTCAAAAATCGGTCAACATCTCTCTAACTCGGTATTACTCGGTCTTACTCGGGCCTACTCGGTCAAACTCGGCCAACTCGGTCAAAATCGGTCAAACTCGGTCAAAGGGTCAAAATTGTCATAAAAAGATAAAAAAAATCAAGAATTTCAAGATTAATATGTATAATGCACTTAATGATTTATTATTTAACACACACATATGGTTATTACTACATATATATCTTAAATTTCCAGTAATTATTTATGAAGTAAGACAATTCTGTGTATTTCAGTTTTTATGTATTCATATATATTTAATTTTGTTATATATTTCAATCAAATTATGATTTTAACTTATGATTTTGACGTATATAATTTTCCTAAAAATATTTCTACATGAATTACCGAATCCGAGTACTCCCCGAGTACTCCCGAGTACTCGCTACTCCCCAGTCGGCCGAGCAGGTACCAAGTAGCGAGTTCTACAACCTTGATCCGAATGTGAAATTGAACAATATGAAGCCAGTTCGCGGGGAGAGATATGAATCACCACACCAGCTAAAGGTTTGTTTGACAAATTACTATATAAGTAGAGGTTATACAATTAGGTTTAAGAAATGTGATAGCGTCCTTGAAAATTTTCAATGTCTCGTTGTGGTAAGGGCCTCATGGATGTGCACTGAAAGATCATTCCCAAAAAAATAGTTGAGCAACATACCTGTGTTAGGAATTTCTGTAGTGCTAATCTTATGGATCCCACATGGATAGCTAGGAAGTTTCTGAAGGCAATGGTTAGGAAACCAAATCAGAAATGTAAGGAAATGTAAGGAAATGTAAGCTATTATTCAAAGCAGGTTCCATTGCAAGGTTTCATGCTTAAAATGTTATAGCGCAAAGTGTAAGGAAATTTCAATAATAGATGAAAAGTTGAGTGATCACTATGCAAAAGTATGGGATTATGGACATGAGTTAATGAGATCCAATCTAAGGAGTACAATTCAAATATGTGTCACTGTAAACCTTGATAACACTACTACTTTCCATAGAATGTATACATGTTTTAAGGCTATCAAAAAAGGATGGAAAGTTGGTTGTCGAAGAGTTATTGGGCTTGATGGAAGTTTTTTGAAGGACAATATAAAGGTGAGATGCTAACTACAATAGGGAGGGATGCAAATAACCATGTGTATCCCATTGCTTGGGTTGTAGTTGAAATTGAGAACAAGCCTAGCTGGAAGTGGTTCTTGGAACTATTACATGATGATCTAGAATTACAAGGAGGCTTGGATTTGTGTGTTATTTCTGATCAACACGAGGTAATGTTTTCTATTATCTTTAGTTGTCATTTCATTTATACATGTATCAAATAGTTACTAATGAAATGTTTTAATATAATTGATAGGGTCTTTTGGAAGGTGTAAAAGTTGTACTGCCACATGTGGAGCACAGACAATGTGCAAGACATGTGTATGCAAATTTCAGAAAGGTCTTTAGTGATATAGAGTTCAAGAATATGTTTTGGACAGTTGCCAAGTCAACTGTTGAGGGAGACTTCAAACTGAATATGGAGAAGATCAAAGAAGTCAATCCTACGGCTTATGATCATTTGATGGCAAGGGAGCCTAAATCTTGGTGCAGGGCATTTTTTAAAGGTGGAATGGCCTGTGAGGTTGTTGAATGGAATGGCAGAGTGTTTTAATGCCATCATACTTGATGCCTGAAAGAAGCCTTTGTTGGCCATGCTTGAGGAGATTAGACGATATGTGATGGAAAGGTTCTATAACTTGAAGCAATATGCACGTAAATGGGTGAATGATGTATGTCCAGGATCTATTAAGAAAATGGATGAGTTTGGTATTGATATCAACTTATCAAGTAAGTATCATAAAATTGGTATTACAATTATCAATATGTATACTAACTAAAATTGTTATTGTGTTTGTAGGAGTTGATATGTTCATCCAAGTGGTTGGAATGCTTATGAAGTGAGAAATGGCTTCCACTCATATGGAGTGAACTTAGAGGGGATGTATTGTCCATGCATACTTTGGGAATTGTCTGGGATACATGTATCCATGCCCAAGCAACCATAATTTACACACAACAAGATCTAGCTAGCTTCATCGGCACATGGTTTAGTAAGGACAAGTTTTTTGCTACTGATGAGACTAACATCCTTCTTGTTAGTGGCAGTAATATGTGGGAACCAACACCTTACACTAAACCACTACCACTTGTTGAAAGAAGGATGTCAGGAAGGCCTTATATGAAAAGGAAAAGGCATATTTTTGAGCATGAAGACAAGTTCTCCCCAGTCTCCTCTAAGGGCAGAACTGTACAATGTCGGAATTGTATGCAATGGGGGCACAATAAATTATGTTGCAAGAATGCCTCAGTCAAACCTACACCAAAGCGTAAGAAGAAAATTGGAAGGCCAAGGTTGAATCTAGAATTGACCAATTGCACAAGAGGTGGGAGAGGATCAAAAAAGGGTAGTAGAGGTGGTGGAAGAAGGTCTACTAGTGTTTATGAAGGTGAAAGTTCTGCGAAATTCAAAAAAGAACATGGGGTTGAGAGTCAATTTGTCACCCAAACAACACCTAATGTTGAGAGTGAATTTGTCCCACAAAAAAATATTGAGATTGATGTTGAAGAAACACAGGAGGACAATAATGAAGATGAAGTTGAGGATGATGAACAACACCTATTGTTGATAGTGAAGATATTCCACAAAAAAAATATTGAGGTTGATGTTGAAGGTGATGGTCTTGATATGGCTGATATGGATCAAATACTGCATGATTTGAGTTACCTTAGATAGTCAAAATATAGTGAAGTAGAGATCCTTTTGTGTCTTAATATCACCCAATCACAACTTAAAGAATTTTATGTTTTGCTTCACCAATCCAAAAAAGTTACAAAGGTATATCTTTTAACATTGAGAGTGAAATTTATTTTTCAATAACATAACTAACTTGTATTTTTTTCCCATGCAAGGATGTGCCTTTGGAGAGTGAACATGTACCATAAACATAGGAGGACAATGATGAAAACAAGGAGGAGAGTAACTGTGAAGATGGAGTTGAAGAAACACAGGAAGACAATGATGAAGATGGAGTTGAGGATGATGAAGAGGGAGTTGACGATACTCAAGTTTTAGGGTTAGAACTCAAGTTAGGGTTAGAACAAGAAAACTTTCTGAAAGGATCATTGAAAACATGTTGAAGAAAATTGTGGTGGACAAGAAAGGAATAGGAATGGCTCCAGAAAAAACTCTTACTTTGGATTAGATTGGTTAGGATTTAAGCAATTATATGGGCTATTTGGGCAAATTTGTTAGGAAGTCCTTTTTGGTAAATTTGTTAATATGTTCTTTCTTTTGTAAACAATATACAATATGGTTGCATTGTTAACACTTTGGCCAATTTCGGTAGGTTTTGTTGATGTATAAGTTACATCCATTTTGGTCATTATGTTATGTTGAAAAACATCCTTCATTTGCTCACATCATACACTTCCAATTGTATATTGCTC